AATGCTTTATTATGCACGTGAGTTAAGCTCCGTGGCTTTTCGTACATTCTCGCCCTTTGCAATGGGAGGCAATCGGTTTTCCACAGCAGGGAGGGGGAGAATAAAATATAGCTTCTCGCACCTCAATTCTCGAACCTCAAGCGCGCAAAAACTCCAGCCGTTGCTCGAACCTTCCTTACACTCGCTCGATATTATCCTTCTATACTTTAAAATGAAACGTTACACGCATTACGATATTTAAATTGACGCAACAAATTATTAATGAGTCACGAGAAGCCGCTTTGACGTTATTTACAACTCGTTTCGATACTTTCGAGCATTTATTTTTATAATATTGACGTATAGTTAGCGGGTGATTACTGTGTGGCAAAATATTTCGTTACTCCGGTTGTGACCAACTATTATTGGTCTTTTCCACCTTTTTTTCTTTTTTTCTTTTCTTTTTTTCTTTTTTTTTCTATTTTTTTTTTCTTTTTTAATTGCAATGAGTATTTAATGCTCAATACTATTTTTTTTTCTTTTTTAATTGCAATGAGTATTTAATGCTCAATATTGATCAATATCATCTTTTATAATTACCGGGTGTTCACTAATCAACGTCAATTCTCTCGATCGCTTCTCGCTCTTGTTTATTTCTTTGTGTCAAACGAAACAAAAAAAAAAAAAGGAAATTTTTTATATATTCGCATTTCGGTCTTAATAAAATCTATTAAACGTATTTTCTATAAAAATTTAGACTTTCTAAATAAATAAAGAAGAAAAAACAGAAATTCTTTTATATTTTGTATGTATTTGATTAATTGTAAGTATGTTGTTGTATGGAACGTAATCATTTATGAATTAAATGATAAAACTTACATATACAATAGAAATATATATTTCATCGAATTTCACAAATATATTGACTAATGTTTTTTTTTTGTATTTTTTGAAAATATTGAATTCAAAATAACATAACATAACAGTTCAAAATAACATAGCTACTATTAAAGAAAGTTAATATTACAAAAATGGTTATCAAATTTTCATAAAATATACGATTAATAATGTTTTTTTTTTATTTTTTTTTTTTATTTTTTTTTTTTTTGGTAATACAATAGAATTATCGTTTTCTTTAGTGCAATTAAATTTACTATAAATCTTGTCAAGGCTGCTTCTCAACAGAACAGGCATGCAAATTTAGTTGTTACTGTATACTATGTGTAACACAAGGTAATTTAAAATATGAAACAAGTCATATATTCCGAGCCAAACAACTTGTAGGTTTTGCTTTTTTTGCTTTTCACGTAGAGAAGAATGCGAAACTTACGAATGAAAACTGCAATGAAACAAACTACAAATAAAACAAACTGCAACTTCAGTAATGTTGATAAAAATATTTAAATATTTTCTATCACTCGGTTAAAATAAAAATATGGCAAAGCAATGCTTATATCTATTTTTCAAGTGCCATTAAAATTCTCCCAAAATTAAAACAACAATGTTTAACATAATTAAGCAATAAACATAAGAAAAAACCAATTAATTAATAAATATTATATAGATAATGAGTAAATTAAACTTTATTATTAGAATTTGTCGGTAATTGAATTTCTTGATGTTTTTTAAAGCCAATTTCAATGAATAATCTTTGATGTAGTATACGCATATTTGTATTATAAAAAAAAAGTTGTAACTCATAAGAAAGTACTACCTTAGTTTTTAACTACATTTTTCTCGTGCAATTTTCATCTATAAATAATACATCACAGCTTCGTCTTATAAGCTAGCATAGGTACTAAACTTAATATTACCAAATTAAATTTTGAAATATTCCAGCTTTACAATTTTGCCGACTGTTGCGATATAAAAATCCGAGATATTGCATAAATTAAGAAGCAATTTAGAGCGAAATGTTACACACGTAGTTGGCCATATATGTGTAGCCTGTGAATATAAGCAAAGCGTATACGCGGATATTTCGAGATCATCTTTTATTAAAAGATTTATCTTGCTTTCCAAGCCAATCCCTTTAATTGTATTTGCCAAAGCCTTTTTGTTCTTGCATAAAGTAGTGTGAAATTGATACAAAGCCAATGAATTATGTATACTGTATAGCGAGTTTATGGAGAGGTCTGCTGGGCACGCGTCACACCTAAAAGAAAGTCATATTTACTTCTCGAGCCAAGGCAATTTAGCCATTTGCTTACATGACCGTGTATTTTTAAGGCTTCATTAAACGATTCATAACGATTATTTACGTGCTTATCGAATCTGTCGCATTATAAGAATATCAATTATTTTCATTTTTGCCATAATAATCAAGCCCAATGCAATAACTCTGCAAAGTAGAATTCGCATAAATAGGGTAAATTTCCGAAATACTCGATGCAAATGAAATTCATCGATCGAGCGATTAATAGTGGAAATCGAGTGCCGACGTCGACTGGCAACTATCGATACAGGACATTTACATAATGTATCGGTAAATATTTTGCGCTCACCAACAACAACTTCCTTCCTCGATCGTAAAGGCTCCATCTCTTGTCTCTTTTACATAATAACCGACTCCTTGGAAGCACAACGACCCGGCTCGCGATGCCAAATAACAAATTTTCTCCAATCGTGAAATGCCAATCAAATTCTAGCCAAATACCAGCCAAACAGGCTCCCTAACTATCACGACTCCCTACCGCGGAATTCACGCGCACGTTCAAATGTAGACGGGCGAGGCGTCGACGGGGGCGCGTGCCGAGTCGGCCTTCGAAGGATTCACGACGAGGAGCAGCCGCGCAAAAGACAAGGGGCAACGATAAGATCTATCGTGCCCGCGCCCACACATGCGGCAGCCGGTGAAAGGCCCCCGATAAACGCTGCTTATGCCGGATGCGACGTTCTGCTCGAGAGACGCACGAATCCGATTAGTCGGTGGGAACGTGGGTGACGGGATCGTCGGAGGTGGCGAGGATCGGGCCGCGATGGGGTTGGGGGGTGGGCGCGGTGGCGACTCCTGATGGGCTCGCGTCGTCACGCGCGCGATACACAATGAACCATCGCCACCCGTAAATGTAGCCGGCGTTCATGGAAAATGGATAATTGCCGGAGATGCATTTGGCGACCGTATGAAAGTCTCTCATATGACAATTTATTATGGCACTTGCGCAACTCTCGGACTCTCCCTTTTTCTCCTTGCGCAACTGGTTGTTTAGTCCTTAGTGACAGGAATGCGAGCCGGGTAATGAGGAAGCATCCGCGCACTCGGTTAATGTTATGCGCCTCTCGTAATGGAGGAGTTGGCAAGTGAAATTGTCGGTCAACGCGAGAGGTCGTTGACGATGAAACTCGGCCAGCGCACTCCAGAACTGGGCTCAACGAGCCTTAAAGCACGTCGGGATCCGGTGTAATTTTTAATTAAAAAAGCTGATAATAATCGAAGGGGGACGGGGGAGGAGGATGAGGGGGGGGGGGGGGAGAGGGACCGGTACCGTATTAGGAAAGCAAGCTCTTTCCTTAAATCATGCCCCCCCCCTCCCCCTCCACCTTTATGCGTTTTCTATTGTCAACGTGGACGCTGCTTTTGTAGATCGTAGATGGAGATTGCTGCTCGGGTGCATGAATTCTCTTTGCCTTAAGTTTGTCGAGGACTTGTGCCTCGGGAAATTAGAGGCTGTGAATGCGAGAGTGTGCATTCGATGATGCCTTCTATTAGTTATTCATTCGAAAGAGAACGGCGCCCTATCTACCCGTATTAATCAGCAGAGACAAGAGGCGGGTTGTATAAGCTGAATTTTTCATTTCAACCGATAAATATACGGAGATAGCTTCGCTCCATTCCATTTCATTCCGTTACCTTTAGTGACATTTCACCTCTGTTCGCGCCTCAAAGCAAAATAGACAAATGCTGCTTTATGTTTGTCATGCTCCTTCAACATGAAAACTAAGATTACATTATAATGGTAAATAAACATAATAATCGGATGGAAGATCGGATGTAAAACAGTGAAATTGTATAATTTTGGCGATTCGAGAGACGATAAGGAACACTTTAGTAGGAGTAAAGCGAGCGATGTGCTGGTGAATTTTATTTATCATTCATTTCTTTTTTCCATAAACTTTCATTTCCAATTAATCCATCAAGGGGCTTATTTCGTGTGCGAGTGTGAGCGCCGATCAAATGATATTTCGTAATGTGCATTTGAAAAATTTTGTGCAAATCGGAAGTCAACGTTAATGTCAGCTAAAGCAATTGCAATGTTTTTATCAACGTTTGCCATAATTTCAAATTCAAATTATACTTTTTAAGATTGGATATGAAGGGAAAGATTTTTCACAGCTGATAAATAAATATTTCCGGATATGTACTGAAAATCGATTAAATCACACGATTAGTGTGTAATTTGAGATAATGACATTAAATGAGATAAAGTTGAATTTAACGGCGACGGGAGTTTATATGTGAATTGTACATCATAAGCGAAATCGTAACCTACTAATTAAATTCACGACTGGAAAGGCGGGATTAATATAATTATTTTCCTCATAAGACACGAGGCTACATATAACTGTATAAATAATACATTTGGATGTGAAGTTTAATAGATATTACCTAAATTATGTGTACCGGGGACAGAGTTGGCTGCCAATTAAAATCATTATCGATTAGAAATATCTGTGAAATTAATATGTAATATAATAATATTCTTTGAGCCTAGGAGTTTATAAAAATTTTCGCGCCTATAAAAGCGAACGATATACAATGTTAGATAAATTACTTTACTACTAATTCACTATAAGTCTAATGTTTTGAAATAAATTCAATTACATTATCATACTCATTCGCCTGTCTTACCCAATACAATTAAGCAATGCAGGATTTTTTAAGATTCATTTTATTAATTAATTTTTCGATTGTTGTTGTTGTTGTTGTTGTTGTTGTTGTTGTTGTTGCTATTTAACCATTAGCGCAATTTGCACGTAAATTCATAATGCAATGCGCGAAATATATAAAAGATAACTTTATAATGACGTTTTCATTGATTTATGACTTTTTGATTCCAGACGCTTTGGAAGTGGAAGAGAGCCGTTATGATTATTCTTCGTTATTCGCGCCAGTGAATTCACTCTTATCACTTATTTATCCACAATCTTCGCCTCAGTCATCTTACGAACCGTATTTGCAGTCGCAGAGGTAAATATTAATTGAGAGGGAAAAAAATTTCCATATATATAATCATTACATCATAACAATAAGAGTAATAATTAATTCGCTGTTAACGGTGATAAAATGAACTTTGCACGAGAATAAAACTGTGCGCCGCCTACCACCATACAATTATGGTGAAAGTTAAATGTAGAAAATTATTTTTAATACTTACTGTTAATTGCGTTGTTAAAATTTCGATAATATACCACTGAAAAATAAATGAATCTCAATGTACTTACGTGTATTTAACTACAGGCTACTCCGCTAAAATTAAGATTTCACTTACTTCTATACATTCATATTTTTTACTTATTTACTTGTTTAATTTATTGCAAAAATATATTTGATTTGTGCGATAAATGGAGATTTCGCTCGGATAATTGTTTCACGTAGACGCACTTGAGTTACCAAGATACCGTTGCAATTCAATCGAGTATCTAAATTTCTGAATTTGATTATAAATGTAGACTCGTTTTCAAAATTACAGCTGGTACAGACGTACTGCAGGAGGCTGTTTCAATCATTTGACTCTACACTCACGTGCGCTTCACATTCAAATTTTAATCTCCATTTGAATATTATCTATCCGCATTAATATCGGCATCGTGATTTGCTACGTGTGCATTTTCACACGCGAAAAGTGTGCAAAAAAAAAAAAAAAAAAACATAAAAAAAAAAAATACCTTCACTCGGTGAGGTATTTTTATCTGTGTTTCAAACAACACAAACTCTATGTTGCTCACGCCGTTGTTCGGCGAATGGAAAGCGACGGATAACTTTAATACGGTCGATTCCCGTGTGTAAAAGAGCCGTAAATCAAAACAATGTCTGCGTGCCGATGCATGGCAATATCATGATCTCCATTATCTATTGCGTTCGTCCTTTCTCTTTCCATTACCGTCCTTTCTCTTTAACCATCACGATATTTTTCGCTTATTCTGTTAGTTTAATAAACAAAAAGGCTTGTGACGAAAGTGCAATCGATCTATTTAAACCAAAACAAAAAAAAAAAAAAACAAAAAAAAAACAAACAAACTCATTTATTTGCCTGCGGTTTACATGAGTTTTTAATATAATGACCATATGGTCGGGAGCAATTACGTCAAAAGTAGTCTTCAATGAGCGAAAGAAACGCATTATTGTATGGTTATAGTATAATGTAAAAATTATTCTTAACTCGCGTGTTTTTACTATTTCAGAAAATAGGTTTTTAAAGCAAATAGAAGCTACAATATTGCGCACTATGCTCTTTGGACAAAAGTAAGCTACTGAAAATACAGCATTCAATGAAAATTCTCATGAAAAAGTGCTTTAATTTATTGTCATAAGCCATAATTATAATCAAAATCTAAGTAGAATTTCTTCAAAACCAACACATATACACGAATAGGTCACCCAATATAACAAACATTCTTAGAATAAAATGATCGGAAATTGATTTTCTATCCCATTCAAGGACTTACTTTATTTTATTCGGTGCTGCGATTATTTATTTAAAGTGGACAAATTTATCGCAATTTATCGAGTTGCATAAAAATTCACAATCCGTCTCTCCTGCGAGCGGAGAGAAAGCGTTTTTGTTAATGCGGAAAAAACGGGCCGCGATGATCACGTTTGCATATCACGTGCCATTACTCGGCTACGGATTTTCCTGGCTAAGCATAATATCACCCTGGACACGTTAGAAACGTAGAAACCTGTTTTCCATAGATAATTTCAGCGAATACACATAACCAATGGTCCAAGATTGCGCTAAGAATGGAAAGTATTATTGCGCGTCAGGATAAGGAAACGCGACTGGCGCTTAAACTAAAGAGAGGATCGTTCTAAGATTTAGTGATAATACCATATAGAAACAAGTCGCGCCGATATTATACATTAATTGCATAATAATTTCGTCGTCGGTGAGAAATATTTAAGACATTAAATATGCCATTGGACGTGACAATAATACTCGTAAGTCGCCAACTGATAAATCCCGTAGGCAGTCAGTGCCTGAATCGGTACGATTAATGTAATCGCAGTTCCGATAGCCTGGATCAATCTACGATCCAAGGTCCGCGAATTGACGTCGCCGATGTTTGTTTATCCGGCAATCACGAGTTTTCCGGCGGGGCATCGCGTCCTCACTCGCGTAATAACAGCCCAGGCGCTCTCCTCGGCCGGAGCTTCGCCACGAGATAAAACCTTTCGCCGCGCTCCCATTACCAATTTGGGTATATCGCAGCGTGCGGCGGTCCACGGGAATCGGGAATCGCTTTCCCGTGGCGAGCGGTCCGTGTTTTTGCTCTCGCTCTCGTAGTCGGCGCCCTGTCCCAGGAGTCCCTCGCTCCCTCGGCCGTACGCGCGGGCGCGCAAAAAAACTGCTACCCGCGCGTCAAGAGTGCCAGGCACTTTTCACCGGTCGGTTACGATTTACGGCGTTTTATCGACCTGGCCTCGTTACGCGGGAGTGGAAATGTCTGACGATGACTCACGGAAGTCTTTGTCTACGTCGCGCTCAAATTTTCACGCCCCTTGCTTCGTTTGCGCGTGAATTTCATTACGGCCGCTGCGAGAAACTCGGCTTTTTCAACGAGGCGCTACGCGCGGACTTTAAACGGTTTTCTCGGCTTCGCTATTTTGCTATTCGCTGGCGAGCGGCAAAATAAACGAGAAACGAGCGAGCCGGTCCGCTCCGATGTGGCGTCAATTTGCGCTTTCGGTAAATATTTTATCGTCGATTAGATACTACGTAGGTACTGCGTAAAGCACTTTCGTTATTAAGATCATTAGGGAAACCTGCTCGGGACAGCGTAAGAAATTGCGCAGACGGTGTTTGAAGTCGGCCTAAAGAGATTAAATAAACTAATAAGAATTTAATTTTGAAAGTTGATTTTCCGACAAAGATAAATGGTGCTATTATATTGGGATTACGTCTGATTGTTCGCAAAGTAAAAAGAGCTGCAGTTATCCACCTTATTGGTCGTTACCGTCGAAATTATCGGGTGCATTATATCTTGGGAATAAGAGCGGCGAACGGTCGATCTTAATATCCATCGACGGAGCATTTTTCTCTTCTCCTCCAACCATCGTGTCCTACACCTTTCAAGTCAGCCATTCAACGCTCGCTCGCAATCACTTAAAATCACCGTCCACCCCGTCAATCAACAACACGCGCTAATGTCACTAACCATACCACCACTCGTAATACCAACAATAATAACGCAAATCTCTATGCCCCGTGTGTCTGTCTGTCTGTCTGTCTCTCTGTGTGTGTGTGTGTGTGTGTGTTCGTGTCTGTGTGTGTGTGTGTGTATAGAAACTTGGTGTACGAGCAGCCGTCCACCCAGGATGCCCCGAAGCCATTGGCGAACTGCGGCCAGAACTTGGTTCCGAATTGCCAAGCGTCGCGCTACCGCAGCTACGACGGTTCCTGCAACAACAAGCACTACCCCTCCTGGGGCATGGCCAACACCAAGTACTCGCGCCTCCTGCCCGCCAATTACGCCGACAGTAAGTCTACTATCTATACCTTACACTCTCTTCCTTCAACTCAGCGGACTCGCGGACGCTGTCGGTGCGTTTGATTAATGATCACTTCGCTGATGGTTTGCCCTATTATGTCGGCCAACGAATCCTTTGTACTGGGCGTTCGAATTGCATATCGCGTTGCTTGTTACGAGGAAGACAATGGCGAATATGATATCGGGAATAATAATTCATTGGGACGGCCGAGTCTCTAATTTATCGAGATACACTTAATTAACGAATAACAAACGTCGAGGCGCGAGATTAAGAGGTGATTTTTGAAAATATATTGATTCTGCATCGTTGGCGTTTACGTGTAAATTGCGTGTAAATAATTAAATCGTACTCTCAAAAATTAAGCAATATTATCATTACACGTAAGTGTTTGCTCCACGAATACGTAGATTCCATTAGAGCATGTTTGTTTCCCTTTTTTATATATACTTTATATATTTATATATTTTTATTTATACTTTAAGCGGTGAATAATCGAAATTGCATGCACATTTATACCACATTATACATTATACATGAATTAGGAGGAGAGAAAAAGAGAGCAAAAAATATACATCGAACGCTCTCTCTCTCTCTCTCTCTCTCTCTCTCTCTCTCTCTCTCTCTCTCTCTCTCTTATTTAAATTTTCTAGAATTGGTGACAAGTGGAGTGCGGACAAATGCGTTCGCTTAAAATTGCGAGCAAACGTGAATAAAAGACATTCGCCACCAAAGACCACGTGCTTTTCACTGGCTCGCATAAAGCTACTCGCATTGCGAAATATGTAATAAATCCATATAAGCACGCAAAATAAATCTGAAACGAGCAGAGCCGGTGAATAAAATAATCATCAATTAAAATGACGACAGATCACGTTACTTCCCACTTGGAATTACACGTAGCCAACTGTCACGCGGAAGAGGGTCGAGCGTTTTTTTTTTTTTTGTTTTGTCCCTCCGCGCTGTGGGAGGCAAACGTATCCCATGAGCCGTCCGCACGCGATCCGCACGAGACTAGAATCGCTAACGAAAATTACGACTAGCGATCTTCCGTCGATAGCCACGGCTTACATTGTATGTGTGGCTGGCGGGATTTTTCGTCACGGTCGCACATGCGATGCTCGTTACTCCTTGGTAATTATGCCATGCGCCGTTATGTCACGTGCGTGATCCCATTCGCGCTACTTGGTAAGACTACGTAAAGCGCGCGATCGTCCTCGGTTTCCCTTATTCCAGCCGCTTGACAGAATTGCCGAGGGTCTATGTCGAAATTGTAATTACCGGCTGTTTAACTAGCCTGCAATACTCGGTGTCTGACAAATTTTACTGGATAATTGTTGCCTAAGCGAGTGAATTGTTTGCGTAGTGCTGAAACTTGAGATATAATTCGACGGGGATTTTGACATTCGCAGTATTCAGCACAATAGAGTGTGTGTAAACGTCAAGTTATTGTTAAGGATCGTAATGAATATGTGTTGAACAATCGTTAAGGTCGAGCGTTACGGTAACCGGACGAATAGGAAACGAATTTTCATTTTTACTTACTATGAGTATAAGGTAGCGAGTAATATATTCAAGTAATTAAACTGTAAACTGTATTTTTGCAATATATAAAAAATTAATGATTGCGGGTGTAGGCAATTAAAATGAAAATTTTTAACTTTTCATGTTTATTCTAGTATCTCCAGGTATTGATAGGCGATTAATAATATCACAATAATACGAGCTTATCATATCCTAGACTAGGCAAAATAATTCCTCACGCCTATAGAAAATCTATTATCTACTTCAAACATATTTGATATTGCGAGGGCAATTTATTTGATGAGATTAATGAATTGTGGCGCGGTTAAAGCGGACGCGCGCGCATACGCATAAAACATCTCGCGAATGTACGACACTTTAAAAATTATGGTATTTATTCGGATATCACGCGATTGTTATATCAATACGCGTTAATGTATATACTAATAATTTTATGTGAACGCACGATTAATCTAGTTGAGTGAGATATATGCGCACGTATAATAACGAAAAATCATAACTATATCGCTTTATTATCGCTTACGCGTATACTTACGTACGTCTAAGAAAAGTATCGTAAAACATTTAATTTATCAATCGTTGAGTGGGGCTCTAGAAATGTGCTTCCGGTATATTGATTTAAACGTGCGCGTTAATGCATCTCGCGAAAAATCAACAGCAGCGTTAGTATTCGAGATAAATTGCAGGTAAAACGGTAATTAATACAATGTCTGAAGTATTTAAGTGCTTTATCAATATCTCAATTATCCGCAAAACTTTGTGGTGGAGCCAGGGGGAGCGCCGCTTGTCCCCTCCTCCTTGCTTAAGCGACAATACGTCGCTCAATCAACATAAAAATGAGAATAAGGATGAAAGAGAGGATGAGGAGGATGAAAGAGAGGATGAGTAGGATGAGGAGGATGAGGAGGAGGAGGAGGATGAGAAGGAGGAGGAGGAGTATAAGGAGAAGGAGAATGATAAATAATGATCAACGGCACCTGACTTTCAGACATTCACGAGCCGCCAGTGTCCAAGAGTGGCAATCCCCTGCCGAACGCCCGTGTGGTGAGCTATACTCTCTTCCCGGACATCGACATCCAAGACCAAAAGTGGACTCTCCTCGCCATGCAATGGGGGCAGATTATGACGCACGACATGGGCATGATAGATGGAACCACCCAATCGAGTAAGCAATTTCATACGCGATGCCGCACCACGACAATGCGCGTCTATCGCGCGGGCGCTTCTCCTTCGACCCCTAAATGACTGATTCCTTTGTGCCCCGAAGAGTGCGTCCGATATCGTGGGCGTACGCCAAATGTACGGGGACTCGATACTTTTGACGCGCTCTTTCATCGTCGGTTATTGATTGCTCGACGAGACAACAATGACGTCGACGACGACGACGACGACGACGACGACGCCCGCCAAGAGATATTGTTAAGCTCGCTTCTTAAGGCCGGATTCTCTCGGCCTCCTCTTGTTTAACGGCGTTTTTCTTTTTCTCTTTTCTTTGCCTTTTCTTTATTCTTTCATTCTGTTCGGTTATTTTAAGAGGATCGTCCAGAGGCACGAAGAAATCTCGTTCGCGAGAATTTGGCACGTTTATCCAGGCATTGGGGGAGGATGGATACATCGAGAGGATGTCGAGTATTAATTCAAAGCGTCAATTTTTTTAAAATGAATTTTGTTAATTGGCCCTCTTGTTGGCCTCTTTCAATTCGTTCGCGACAATGAAAATGTTAAGTCGAATTTCATGGCAACGATAAGCTCCGAGAATTGCGAATTTATTGTGTAAACGGGAGTGGAAAATCAAGGGGGAGGGGGGAATGTTTTGCCGAGAAAACGGCTTAGAAAGTACACGGCGAATTGCAAAGAAAGCAGTTTAAATACGATAGTTGGCATTTTCAATTTAGAATAAGCCCGCGCGCTGCGATAATTTCTTTTTTAAACGTGGTATTTTGAATTTCGTGGCCTTTGGAAAAACTCGATTGTCGCGGTTATTTCATATCTTCGTCTTTAGCCACGAATATTCATAATATCGATTTGTCAGTTATACGCGTGAAACTTTCGTCGCCTCGGCTCGTTACGTCTTTATGGCATACGTGATGCGGCTCGCACGACAACCACGAGCGACTACTCGCCCGCCCGACAGACACAGCAAATAGTTACAACTGTAATAATTAATCAGCGATCGAGCATTATGAGTGCCATAACCGGAAATCAATTTCAGAGGCCCATGCAACGCAGTGTTGTACGAACGAAGGACGATTAATAAGGCAGGCATTAAGCAGCCCCTTATGTTATCCAATTTTAATACCTCTTAACGATCCAGTTTACTCGAAGGATAGGCAGCAATGTCGCAATTTTGTCCGCAGTACGACTGACCTGGACCGAGGTTGTTCATCTGGATATCAACCAGCCGAACAGGTTCGCGTTTTATAGCAAAATTACTTTTTAATTGTTAATTAGAGTAATCAATTGCGAATTCATAATTGTTCGCATTTACCATATCAAGATACTGGATGCACGTTTTTACTAAACAAATTAATCATTAACATAGCGTTAAAGCAACTTTTAACGGAAAATGAAAAATATTAACCGGAAAAGTGCTTTCTCATTTGCTGTGTAATTTCCTATGGCTGTTACTAGCTCGTTTAACGCGGCTAATAAATATTCTTTATCTTTAGTACTTGTCATATTAAGTATTTATTATTCGATGAGTGAAAATAATTTTTTCTTTTTCTTCCAGATAGTTTTCAAAATTTCCTCGACCTACATTAATTTTATTACATTACATATTATTCATTCCAAATTATCTCATATTATATTACTAAGCCATTCGTTTGCATTAATGCTGTACTTATGACGAAGTTTAGCAGTTTTCGTTATGCTAAGCTAATAAAGTAATTAGACTTTCTACGGATAAATTACGAATTACATAATTCCCATGCTTTCGTAATTAGGAATTTTAACGTTTGATAATGAAGAAAATGCTAATGATAAATGTTATAATATATAAATAACAAAATTAATAAACGCCTGACAATGAAACTTTAATTACTTGATAATAATGTAAGTAGCACTGGATCACGATAGGAGAGGCAAACGATGGAAGAAAAAAAAAATAATGAAAATATTTTATCAGTGTTCGATATTCCAAAATCCTTTTCACATTTAATAGCTATTTTACGATAAACTTTTACCGTCATCCACCGATTGACAATAATTATCTTAAATATTTTATTCGTTGATTAACAACGATTGCTATTAGAAACGACTTATTATTACTGAAAAATATTTTATTCTCATTGAACGACTACATCGCACTGAAAGGGGATATTATTTTTTCGTTTATAAATCGACGAATACCATTCAATGATTACGGATAAAGGGATGCTCACAATCTTGTTATAATATAATGATGAGAGTATATGGGATATCGCTGAAATTAACAAGAAAATCGATTATCAGTTGACAGTCGTATCGCACTTTTTGGATCTCTCCATTATTTACGGCTCGAGCAACAACATCGCTGCAAGTCTACGTGCTGGTGTTGGTGGTCGTTTGGTCGTCAATGTGAATAAAAATCGAGAATATCTACCACATGCCACCAACAAGAGCAACTCATGCGACATTTCTAACGAAGCTGAAATATGCTACGCATCAGGTACATTAAATTATTCCTTTTATAATCCAAACGATACTTTCGTTATTCGCTAACATTATTGTTATTATCATTATCATTATTATTATCATTATTATCATCATCATCATCATTATTATTATTATTATCATTATCATTATTATTATTATTATTATTATTATCATTATTATTATTATCATTGTTATTATTATTATAGGCGCCTGTCTGTAATGTGTGCCATAATTTTTCATACACTGGCTTTTAATCAAAATGAAAGATAAAAATGAGAATTCATAATATAGTCTAATGCTTATTTAGTAAAACTTTCAATTACACAATTCTATTATGACTTACGGCTTAATTTGCTAATTTACATGGCGCATTTCATTGCTTGTAGTGTTTTAAATATTATCTGATTTTTTTTAAATGCAATTATTAGTGCGATCTTCGTATGATAGATCAATATGCTCGATCTTCTTAACAACATATATTAATTTAATAAATTGTATTTTATAAATCTTATAATTATATATTAAAAATTTATTTAATTATTTATTCAATAATATTTAATAAATATTTATTATTATTTAATAAATAAATAATTATTTATTTAAAAATTTATATATTATTAAGATCGATGACTTAATTAATGGAAATTTATTTCATAAAAAGCGCCATTCATCGTTTCAGCCGTATTTTTTTTTTTTTTTTTTTTTTTTTTTTTTTTTTTTTATTATTTAATTAGGAAAATATATAATGGGATTTTAAGAGCAATATTGCAGAATAATTCATTAAGTTATCGATCGCAGAGTCAATGGTTTTTGTCGTATTAATAAAGCAGTTCAGTCAGTTTATGATACACATATTTCTAGGTAAAAAATACGCATTTGTTTTATGGATTGGATATATTAAAACTGCATCTAAAATTTATTATCTACGATTAAGTTTATATTGTACCACTTTCAAATAACTTTATTGAGGAAGTCTTGCTCACATAAAACGTGCGAAGAAAGAAAGTTATATTTAAATTTAATTACATTACTTCCCCATTATTTTTTCTTTTCTGCTTTTTAATAAATTAATGCACTTACTTTGCATTGTACATTTTTATCTGTCTAATAAATTAATATAACATAATAACATAATATATAATGGTTGCTTGTGTTAAAAATTATTACGTTGTATACTTTAAGATAATAGTACTATTAGGTGAAAATGAATTAAATATTTCATTCAATTAGCAATTTGTTTTCATCTAATTAATTATATAAGCATGTTTATGAATATGTTGATAAATCAGATAATGCATTCAATTAATATTATAAATTGTATGAAATTCGGAGATAAAGAAATGTGACGCAATCCGGAAGGTTAGCGTTTCTATGTATTAAGTCATTGAATTAAGATCGAATTAAGAATGTCATAAATATTCTACTTTATCTAGAATATAACGAAACAAATTTATTATAATAACGATATAATTAATGTGTAATATCTATATGTATCATCTGTAATAACTATATCTACATATATTATTTCAAACATTATAACTTGCATACTTTTATAATTAAATGCACAATTTATCGGAAAAAGTTTAAGAACGACGTTTTTACTGCATGCTATTTGTATTTTTTGTACGATATGTATGTTAAAAATTTCTCTTTCCTCTTCCTTATTGACAAACAGTTAAGATTCTTTCTTACATAGATGCAAAAACTAGAGCGTACGACATTCCTGCGTAATTAATAGCTTTTTTTTTTTTTTTATCATTTTGAAAACATAAATATATTCTGCTACAATAATGGGTATTATAGGTACAAATATTTATTCTGAAACAAAATTTTATTGGGAAATCGATCGTTAATCGTAATTAAAAAAAAAAAAAAAAAAAAAAAAAAAAAAAAAACTAAATTATTTATTTATTTTTTTTTAATTTTCATGATTAAACTTAAACGATTACATTTCGTATCAAATTAAAATCTACATTAAATTAAACGAGTATTTTTATTATGCAACTATAAACTATAAATTATGGAATGATATGTATAAATAATTATAAACATAAATATTTGAAAAGTCATCTACGATCAGCAGTAAAAATTGAACAAACCAAAAGTATTTCTTTTATATGCAATTTATAAAAGGGACAATAAAATCAATGACTAATTATATACAATAGAAGCCATATAGATTTATAAAAGAGTTTTAATATTAATGCTAACATTATTTACAAGTGAATTTTCTATATAATTAAATAAGTTTTGAGATTCAAAAGCAATTTAATCAACTTGGGAAATAAAATAATAACTTATATTTCAAATCAATGCATAAGCATCAATGTTATGAGTTTAATCATACTAAATAAATAAAATCAGTAAATTTATATAAATCCATAAGAAACATGTAATTAGTTAATCGCTACAACTCGTTTTCATATAAATTTCGAAATAACGTCGGTTGTAATGTACAGTTAAATTATCTGTGTAACTGAATAACTCGTGAATAAATGTCCTCGTGTCCTTTACTTGCAGTTTCAATAACGTTCACGTTACATCATAAAAGCAGCGACTTGTTATTTCTTATGGCTCTGAAAAAATCGCATAACACAATACATAAAGTCAAAATGGATTGTTCCAAATATAATGGTTATGTCCACCTTATAAAGTTTAGAAACAATAAAATCTAATTAACCGAATGCGCGTGAATCTGAAATTCAGAATATGTAATGTTTCATGCTTGGAATTATTAAGTAGCATTTAGTTACGAAAATTTCTTTAATTGGCAAATCTGTTTGACATTTCACTTCATTTCGAGCAAGTATTTTATATAATAATTTTATACTTCTTGCTAAATTATGATGGCATTTTCTTTATGATAATTAAAACTATCCAGAATCTTATGTTTATGAGTCATTAGCTTATAATTTATTACGAAACGTGTTTTATTTAATCTAGCTTTTCATGTATTGTTATTCTTGGTATTTTTAGTAATACGTTCGTGTTCAAAGAAAAGTATTAAGAAATCGTGTGCTTTGAAAAAAAATCCATGAAAATTATTTCGATTTAAATAGCGATTACAACTAATTATGCTTTGTTTTTATTTCAAACGGTTTCTTAGTCGCGTATGCAGATTTTTACGATTTCACAATATTTTTGTAAGATCTTAACGCAAGAAAAAAAAACGATTAATAGCCACGCAACAATTCGCAATGGAGATGAAAAGAAAAATTCGGCTAATTGTAAAATTCAAACGATTGCACTGCTCGCTCAGAGCCATTATCTCATCTCCCCTTTTGGATAAATAATCAAGTATCTATTTGAAATTTAATATAAATCACTACTGAATTAAACTATGCAATGGAATATTTGTACGGATTGGCGGATATGAAGTTTACTGAGTTTTCAATGAATTTTGTAGGTGACGCTCGAGTCAATCAAAACCCACAGCTGACGATTTTACACTTGATGCTGCACAGAGAACACAATCGTATAGCCAAGGAACTCGCCCTATTGAATCCCCATTGGAGCGACGAAACAATTTTCCAAGAGACAAGGAGATTAACTATTGCCATACATCAACAAATCTCGTATTACGAGTGGCTTCCGATATTCATAGGTGAGTTGCGGCTCGTACGTTATTAAAATATTTTCATTTCGCCCTTTTCCGATTGCCGACTCTGTACAATAAATGTCTATCTTAATAATTCACGCATCAAGGTCGCTAATTATCTATCTTATTCGACGATTTTATTTGCAAAGAGTTGAAATTTCAATTATTATGTTGCTTTGATTGGAAATATTACGAATAAGCATAAATAAGCACGTATAATGGGGAGAGAAGAAAATCATAACTTTCGAGCATCTAACATTCTGCAAATTTAATTACTTTTCTGCTACATCGTCCAATATATACTTATCGATCAGTAATGTTTTTATAAATATTTTTAACACTTTTTTACTTTAACTCGAAACATTATTGATTACAATGTCGTATTACAAAATATTTAAATAAACTAATTAATTTTTTAAACTATGACATTTAAAGGGCATCTGTAAATATCCTATGTAATTGTCTATTTTCTTCTTCCCATTTTTTTTCTTCTTCTCTACTTTAGGAAAGCAAAATTCGTACAATCGTAGAATTCTGTACAGTACTCAAGGCTGGGTCAATGATTACGATGCCACTGTAAATCCCAGTACACTTAACGAGCACTCGAACGCCGCTTTCCGTTACTTCCACTCTCTCATTGCCGGTAGATTACTGTAAGTAAATACCTACCTTAACATTATCTTGTTAGTGCGATCGTGTTTTTTTGCTCGATGAATTATCAATGAAAATGGAGTTTCGTCGACAAATTGGCTTGGCAATTTATTGACTCGACAGCAGATCGTCGGAAGAATTTAACGAGATTTTAAATAACAATATCAATCTACGCAACACGCATTATCTGCAAAATATCAAATTCGACATAACTTTTCACGCCAATTTCAAAATACACGCGCATCCCTTTTCGAACCTTGTAATCCCCCCCCTCCCCCCCCCCCCCACCCCAATATCCCCCTCTCCCATTCCCCTCTCCCCCGCCCAACCTACCACCCGATCATCAATCCCCATTCATACACTGCACACTCCACCCCACACCATCCCAACTCGTCCTCACGGCATAATAAGGCATCGCAATATATAACAATGTCGATTCAAGCATTAACTTTAATTGGAACTGTAGCGTTTCGCTAAAATGACGCTGACGTCGTTATTCCAATATTGGACGACACGCAAGCAAAGGACGAGGCGATCGACACGGGAATTTTAAATTACGAGAATCGGAAATAATTTGCGCCCCGTCAATGTGTCGATATTCTCCGATCGACACGAGCGTCCATTCAACCAATCGAATAATTAATTGCCAAAGGCTCTTTACTCGCGCTCTCCTTCTGCAGTTTGGTGGACGAGCACCGTTTCTCCTACACGTACAACGCCCTGAGGCTGAGCGATCACTTTAACCGGCCGGCGGTGATCGAGGAGGACGACAACCTGGACAAACTGACGAGGGGCATGGCCTTCCAGCCTCAGGAGGCGAGCGACCAATGGTTCGACAGCGAGGTAACGGGCCGCTCTAGGCTGCCACCAGCACGAGAATCCTGACCGCTTGGCTTACCTCTCGTTTCAGATAACGAATTACCTGTTCAGAAACGGTCGAAAATTGGGCGACGATCTGCGGGCGATCGACGTACAGAGGAACCGGGACCACGGCCTCGCCACTTACAACGATTATCGCGCTTACGCGAAGCTACCTAAGGCCAACAAGTGGAGCGACTTCGGCGACGTCATCAGTCCGGAGGTTCTTATCGGCCACTGCCGGCCCTCCCGGCACCCACACTCCACCCCGTCCTTCTCTATTTCAATTCACGGCTCGCCGCCACTAACGCTTTAACGCTTTGTCACTCCGTAGAACATTCAAAGGCTCGTGCAGCTGTACGAGAGTCCCGAGGACGTGGACCTGACAGTGGGTGGGTCGCTCGAGCGCCACGTCGACGGCACCCTCGTTGGACCGACCTTCCTCGACATCTTGACCGAGCAGTTCTGGAGGACGAGGGTCGGCGATCGCTTCTGGTACGAGACCGGAGATCCCGATATCGCCTTTACAATTGGTGGGTGGAGTGCGATGCGGGTGCCTCAGCGGCTCCCATTGTTTTATAATTAAATTTCTAATCTGCGAGTCGATGCCAAGCGCTCGAGCACAATTGATTTCTAATTGGATTTACTTTCTCGGCTTGTAAAAACGTCGCTACCGGTATTCCCTGCTCCGTCTCTGTAGTCGCGAATTGTTTGCCCGCGCTGGCGTTCGAATACGATGCGCGCCTGGCAAAATCAAAATAATCCCATTGAACATCGAGGATGTTAATTTGCGCGTGGAGGGACGTTAATTGAAACTGCGGATAGATGATTGTCGTGATTGAGCATCGATTTCAGCGTGGCAATATTGTTCTTACAAGTGCTGTTACTACAATGTCATTATGCTTTCCTTAAAATTTTTTCATAAAAATTTAATAACTATCGTATAATTCACAAATGTGGAGAGGCATGTTGTACGAATAATATATATGCTCGGTATTGACACGATGATTATTCGTATTTGATATTATTAGTAACGATTATTAGTAAGGGGAGCTTATGATTGCGAGTAGAATGAAATTTCTTCGTTCTTACGTGACGTTTAGCGGGAGCCGACAACTCGTAAATGATTATTAAATTTCTAGAGCAACTTACTGAAATCCGTAAGGCCAGTATCTCTAGGCTATTCTGCGACAACGGAGACGAGATTCACCTAATGCAGCTACGAGGCTTCGAACAGGTCTCACAAACGTAAGGATAACCATAAGGCTAAGTTGAAGTTTGTTGCATTATTGCAAATTGTAAATGACGCGTTAATTATATCTTTAACCGTTGTTTTACAGAAATCCACTAACGAGGTGCGACAACATTCCGTCTATAAACTTGAATTTATGGAAGGACATTCAAACGTCACCGCCAACCTCGCCGCTACCGACGCCCCCGATCCAGGGACAGACGTGGACGATACTACCATCCACATGGCTACTTCCATGGCGTCAATAATCCAAGTTTTGTTAAATATTTAAAATTTAGGAAAGTGAATACGCCTGCCCGAGAATTGCGCTTGACCATATACGCTATTGTCATTTCACGTATATCATCATTTCATAATCAAAGTGTAATTATTGTACATTAAAACAAATTGTTTAAACTTTGATATACATATGCATATACATGGCTGGGTGTGTGTGTGTGTGTGTGTGTGTGTGTGTGCGCGTGTGTGTGATAAGTTTATTATGAGTGCATATGTAGATAATATTATGACATTAGCGGACCGTTTAATCCAAACGAGATCTCGTTAATATATCCTATACATTTGTACTACTTTCGCATAAAAAAATTGTATTATTAATTGTAATCAGTTGACATATTGTTATCTGAAATTTTTTCTCTTCTCTTGTTTCTATGTTCTATTTTTTTTTTTTTTTTTTTTTAATAGTTTTTTTTTGTCTTCTCTTCATTTTTTTTTTGTTTTTTTTTGTTTTTTTTTTGTTTTAGTGTAATAAAATAAACCATAGTGAAAAAAGCTGACGTTCTTCATTGTACCATTTCCTTTAAATTACCCCATACTCACTTGCGCATGTTTTTATTTTATTTTAAAATACCTTAGAAGATTATTTATTGATCGATCGTGTGCTTTCTCGAATTGTTAATACCAATAAAGAGTCGCGAAATCAGCGGTAAATCGCATTCTTTCACCTTACACAATACATCAACAAAATTGAATTTTTGATAAATGCTGCGTCGGTATAATATTTCGGTACGGAGTCGTTCACGCGTCACTCGTCTTTTTAGTTTCACGTTGACTTCTTCCGACGCAATCGTGATTTACCGATTGTCCTTCTCGCCGTTTGCAATCGCCTTTCAAAAATCATCAAGTACGGATATGTTGTGATAGGCGAATGCACTTGTTCGTTGTAACCACTTGCCAGAGCCCGCGGTAACATGGAAAGTAATCGTAAGATCTCCGCGATCTCTATCCCATTGCTAATCTTGATCGTTTACGTATGGAATTCGATGGCGGATGAGCAAAGCGGATCGCAGAGGCAGCTTCACGCCTCGAGTAGCGGTGAAAATTACGAAAGTGCCGAGGAGCTTCAAGAATTTGAGATGGACGAACTTATAAAAAATCTCGAGGCAAGCATCAATGCCCAAGAGGCGACCAGCGAGGAGTTGATTAAGGAGGAGAACCAACGAGACTCGAGAGGCATGGCGCAGCAGCGTAAGCCCTCGAGCGGCGATAAAACCGGCGTATTTGAAGGGCCGACAGGTAGTGGTACGATAATTCCGAATCCAAGAGATCGGAAGTCCATAAACGCCAGAAGAACTGGAAGGGATCAACAAGCGGACATTTCAGCGGTGATCGACGATCTCGATGCTCGTGCACGAATCCATAAGAAAAAGACACGTGACAATTACGAGGATATTGACGAGGTTAACTTCCGTTTCCTTTGAATTTGATACATTGATACAATTTATACATTGAGACAAAACGAGGAAAAAATCCGTATATAGAGACACTTTTATTAGCTTAAAATTAAAATTGACTATACTTTTGTATAAAATAATGAACGAACGAACGAACGAACGAACGAATTAACTGATACTGATTAAGAAAACCGATGAATAAAAGAAGAAAAAATTTTTAACATTAAATTTTTACATTTATATATGGCAAATAAAATTGAGAAGCGCGAAAACGTTTAAGTAATCGTTAGACTGTCGAACGGTCAGCAATAACCAGAGGCAATACGCGCTATTCGAGTAAAATTACAATATCCGCCAATTCTTCGCTTCGGATTGTCATTAGGGAACTTGAAATTACATTGATCTTCGCTATTTACAGCTTATTAAAGAAGCTTATGGTTTGGCGAGTGAACGCTCGTCCGACAGTTGGCTCCATCGCAATCAACTCAGCGATTACGAGAAGGACGACCAGTACCGGCGCTCCTTACTCCACTTACTGAACCTTTACCGCCTCTCCGGTAAGCGAGACCGCGCGGACAATGAAAGGGAGGAAGATGATGATGAGGAAAAGGAGGCGGTGGAGGCGGAGGAGGAGGAGGAGGAGAAGGAGGAGAAGGAGGAGGAGAAGAAGAAGAAAGAACGGCGACAGCAGGAGAAGAAGTCGCTGAGTCACGATCGCTCGATGCGGCATCGGTCTGAGCGTCGTCTGAGCAAGAACCTACGGTTCGTCGATTCCGGCAAATCTCGACACCTGGACAGGAGTCGGCTACTGGCGGATCACATTGCCGAGTCGGCTTTACTTTTGGGCCAGAAGAAGGGCCGAATCCTCGAGCACCTCATTGACGACACGGCCAAACGCGACGTGGAGATTGCGGCATCCACCGCGGCGGCCTCTTCGACGGCCGTCGACGTTGGTGTGAGTAGCACGGGTGGAGCGGTAAGCACGGGTGGAGCGGTGAACGTTGCCGGGACGGCGAGCACGGCCACCGGGGGTTTGGCCGTCGACGCGGCTCTCGGGGTCTCGGGAGGACTTCGCGTCGAGGGTGCGACGGGCCTCTCCGCGGGTCTCGGCGCCCGCACGAACCTCGGCCTGAGTCTGCTCGGGCAGCTCGGCTCCTGCCAGGACTACGAGCGCAAGATGATCATGGACATGGCCATCCAGGAGGCCTCCGCGATGATCCGTAGGCTGGCTTACGAGACGAGGAGCGAGATCGGCTATAAGAGCGATCCGGAATTCGAGAGGCGCATCCTCGGCCTCGCCATCGAGTTGGTGAACAGGGTGACGCTGGGTCTGGCCGGCGGCGAAGTCGGCAGCAAGTTCGACCTGTTGGGTAGCTACAGGTACAACGGAGTCGACGACTACCTCAAATCCTCCGTGCTCGACGCGGAACTGCAGGCCGGCTTGGTCACGAATGCGGGCTTCGATTACTTAAGACATCGCGATCTCCTCGAGGGCCGGAGGCTTTACGACGACCTCGATCTCTACGACGAGTATTTGGATCACCTGGGGCCCTACGCGCGGGATCGCTGCGACTCCTGCTCTAAGTACGACATGAGAATGGGGAACGTGTGCCCCGTGTGCAAAAGGAGCGGCCCCGAGCCGACCGGGCCTAAGCTTCAGAGTCGGCCGAAGCGCGAGTCAGGCCTGTACGCGGACGACCGGGGCAAGATTTATCACCTTCAGAAATTTCAGCAAAATAAGGTCAATATCAAGTGAGAGAACGGGGCTGTTCTTGAATGTTCTGGATACGTAATTTCCTTACGTGATGGAGTTATTATTATTATTATTATTTTATTTTTTTATTTTTTTTTTACGCTATTATATAGCCTAATAATAATCGTAATAATAATAATAATAATAGTTATAATAATAGTAATAATAATAATAATAATAATAATAATAATTGTTATTATTATTTCCTTTTATCCCATTTTCTTTTTTTCTTAACGTTTGTTCATGTTACTATTATGTTACTATGTAATGATGTGAAATAAAGACGTCAAGCAAAGCAAGAACCCTATGAATTATTAATCCTTTCAGTCACCAGGCGTCCTATTTATAAGCTTTATTGGTAAGTTTGTTTTTTACTTAAGTATTCACTCGATCATATGCATATAAATCATAATCATGTTGAAAAGTAAAATTTCACAAACAATTCGTACAAGTATAATCAGCGCCAGTAGGACATTACAAATTTGTATTAGAAGATTCTTATTAGAAGTTTGCCGCGTTTGAAAGTTTGAACGTGTCTTTGTCGAGTGGATGTCGTGACTGAAGGGATTAATTACAGTTGATTGAGCGATGTGAATTATATGATTGTAATTACTTTTTAGAGACACAAATCAGGCGGCGTTTGGGAAGACGTTAATAAACTTTACAATTTTAATGACTACGAAAATACTAGATTCATCAACTTGAGTATGAATTGTAGTGGGACGTCTGAATTCGCAAATCCGGATTGTCAAAGGCTACAATTAAAACTTGTGACTCCTAAAGGTATTGATAAAAAAAAACAGTCATTTAATGTTGATAACGTTCTTTTTTATTTTTTTTTTTTTTTTGGTTTTGTTTTTTGCTTCTTCAAATCCATCATGACCTTTGAAGTTTCCACCCTGTTTCATCAAAATTCGCTCGTCTCTATTGCGCGGAAAAAAAAAATTACAAATTTACATACTTGGTTGGGATTTCTGACAAAGAATGTCAAACAGAACCGTATAAAAGTAATGTTTTTCTGTTTTTTTTGTTTTTTTTGTTTTTGTTTTTGTGTTCTTTTAATGCCGTTATTAGGCACATTAGAATTGATAATTGAATCCTGAACTTTCACTTTATGAAACCTTGATCTATTTTGTCACCAAGCATAAACTATGCCGGCAAATGAAAGTTTATAAAATATGTTTAGAATTTTATGTAAATGTAATTCTTCGTTCAAAATCTTGCGCAAATCTTTGCACCGAGCGGGATTTTACGTAGAAAATTGCCGCTCTTACTTTTACTTTCCAGGAATTCTCAAAAAATAATTTGTTGTAATATTCAATTTGAAAATGTCGAGAGTGATCCGGTAGTCACGGCTGTAAATTCCGCATAGAAAAATACTGAGCATTCTTCGTCTGATTCTGGTTGCTAATGTACCAGTCTATCTGCATTAGACATATTAAGAGTCCAAGAATTTACGAAATTGTTAACTTTTCCCCCTCGAAACACTTACGTTATTGAAGCGCGCAAAAACGTGCGCCGTTTGCTGCGAGTCGGGATGCATTGGCCGAGCGCAGCCAAATGGCCCAAGTAAATCGCGGGACTCGCCGGTTTATTATTGATTTTAATTAACAAATCGCGTGCGCGCGATGCCGGCTTTCGCAATCACCAACTAAACGAGCACTCGTTTCGAGCCCTGTCGCCGCCGCCGCTGCCGCCGCTGCCCCCGCCCGCCACCTAACCATCGTCCCCCATCGTCCCCCATCATCCCCCGCTACAAAAGACGTCGCAGCGTCATTCATCGACGTGCCCTGATCCAAGACGCAGATCCGGTGCCACTGTGGACGGTGCGGGACTACTTGAGCCAGGGTCGAGACCTCGGAGCGGACATGCACGAGCGCGGCCGGGAGCTGCAGATTGCCGAGGGTCTGCGACCATCGGCTCACACGGCTTCGATGCTGCACTTCATGAACGGCCGAACCACGGGGACGACCGTCAGGCTGAACGAGGAGTCGCAGATCATGCTCTACGGGACCAAAGTTCTCCAGGAGAAATTACGGACCGAGTAAATGGGCCGAGGCGTCGGAGTCACGACGTCCTTTGTTACCTCGGCTGTTACCCTCTAACTCCCTAACTCTCTAACTCTCTAACTCTCTCTCTCTCTCTCTCTCTCTCTCTCTCTCTCTCTCTCTCTCTAACTCTCTCTCACCCACTCTAACTCTCTCTAACTCTCTATCTATCTCTCACCCACTCTCGATCTATCTCTTTTGCTCGTGAAAAGCATCGAGCTCGCTTTCGTTCTCACTCGGGCGATAATTTTGTGCAATTAGAGGAGAATGTCGCTGCCGCGAAATACCACGATAATGAATTATTACGCGGGAGAGACAGGGAATTTCGTAATCGGCGATCAATGAGAGCTGCTTTACCATTCACGTGACATTTTTTAAGGATAAGTTGTGCTGCTCAATCATTTGATTTATCGCCTTTAAAGAATCGTGGAATGCGTTTTAAAGAATTCTTACGAGTTAATATACCAAGTCGTTTATCCACACGCGAAGACTGAATTCATAACGCCATTTTTGTAATACGTGCTGTTACGGGCTCGTGAAATCGGGCAAACTCAATTAATAACTTAATCATCGATCTACCTGTAATGTACCCACTTTCGACGAGTACTCGAAGCCAGCACCAAGACGTTTTTCAATCTAACTTTTTCTCTCCCTTAAAAAGGTATAACGTGAAGCCACGCGCATTCCTTGATTTTCTCCAGCATCATGGATTCCGTGTCACTGGAAATGAAACCTGTCACTCTCGGCAAAAGCGCTGCAACAGTTTGGCGAAATTCCGAAGCATCGAAGGATCTTGCAATAATTTTATCAACCCCTCCTGGGGCCAAAGCAACACTGCTTTTGTACGATTATTGCCGGCTCGTTACTCTGATGGTAACAATTCCTCTTTTTGTTTCTTCTTGAAATTTGCAATAATTACTTCGTGCCGTTTTAGCCGTATCTCAATACAGTCATCGAATGTCAAATTTTCGTTCACAGTATAAGCACAAATATAAAAATAACAATTGCCTTAAGGCACTTGAATAAAGTAAAGTCGAGCTATTACTAAAATTCACGCTATTTAAACTGCAAAGAATGTCATCGACGTAGCACTTATAATTAATATAGCGCATAGAGTTTATTAATTGAGTTTATTGACAGAGAGCATAGAGCACGTGCTTACTCATAAGAAAGTACCAAAGTATTATAGCAACGTTAAGATAATGATAATTTTGATCGATGCACGACAAAATGCTTTCGTGGAGCTTTCAATTTACTATGGTAAATATTGTTTTCAAGTCTTTAGCGTTTTTCAATCTTGTAATCAGTCAATCAAACGTATACGACAAAACTGATCATTCGCCGGCTAAATTAATAAAAAATTTACGTCACCTTCCAAGCATAAATACATAAAATCAGATTGTCGGTGCAAAAACGTCGCGTGAAATGATACGGACAGTCGGCATTCGTGGCCAATGCACACTCTGCGCCCAACTTTAAATGAAAAAAAAAAACAAGCAGCTAAAAAGCAGAAACAAAAACAGAAACAGAAACAAAGCAAGGAGAGCAAATTAGTAAATAACGTGAAACGTTACGTGAAGCCTTGAATCTGGCGCTGAATCATAAAAGACAAGATGGTCGAGCTTGCGATTGTTGGTCCCGCAGCTGAAATTCCCAGCAAAAGCATCGAGAGGCCCAAATCCGCTTTGAAAAGACGAACGAGCGGCCGTAAATAACATTGGCTATTCTCGTAGTCGACGGGATGTGCGTGCGTGCGCGTGCGTGTGTGTGTGTGGGGGGGGGGGTGGATTTAATGATGAAGGAAGCACCTAACCTAAGACATGCATTTTTAATGTCGGCAGGCATCCACGCACTCCCACTCGGCTCATCGGGTGGCCCCTTACCGAACCCCAGGACCCTCAGCGCCCGTTTGTTTCCAAGACGTAACGCCACCGATTCGCTCTTCACCCTCGCTCTCATGCAATGGGGCCAAATTATCGCCCACGACTTCGCGCGACAGACGATCGACCAGACCGGTAAGAGATCCTGATCCACTTGCGTTGAGAATAGTCCTGGCCTCCTTACCCACCCGCCCGCCATTAGCTAATCCAATAATGATAAGCTGGACTTTGGCGGTTAGTCGAGGGAGGTGTCGAGTGCTGCACCGACACCGGCAAGCGCCCATTACCCAAGACACTCCAGCATCACTCATGTCTGCCCATCGTCATACCCACGGACGACGATCTTTACGCCCGATACGGCCAGACTTGCATGAACTTTGTGCGCAGCATGACGGTCGTGAGGGAGGACTGCTCGCTGGGACCGGCGAACCAGGTAATTCCGCTTCCGCCTTCTCTTTTCTTTTGTCTTCATATAACTTTCTTTTCTTCCTCCTCTGCACGCTCTCATTACGAATTCAAATGCCATTTCACGATGTCACTATGACACGGCCTTTGGCAATGCTCGATTATAAACACTTGTGCGCTTCGTAAAGTCGCGGCTTTTCATCCCGTCCGCTAGGCTCATTAGCGGCTGCGTAAAATAAAAATAAAATATAAGAGCGCGCGAACGCGATTATGCTCGCGCTATTGATTGGTAGTGCTAGATCAACGAGAATGGGAGTTTAGTTTTCTCTCGCTTTATCCTCTGTGACTCTCGATTTCTCGATTATTCGTCAATTAGTGCCTGGATTTCTCGCACTCGTAGAAATTCTGGACAACAGGGTGATGGATTTATGTTGCGGTGTCGGGTGAATAGAGCGAGCCATATATATATATATATATATATATGTTGCCCTCCTCGTATTTAATTTGAGCGACTTGAGAGGAGAGAAGAAGCCAAAAAGCTCTCGGCATAAATCTCGAGCTAATTATTAATACGTCAGAAATTTCATTGACACGAGTCTTATGCTCAATGCTAATGACATACATTATTATTACATTATATGGGCATTGAAATTCATGTTTGCTTGTATAATTAGCAATTAATTTTTCGTAACCTTTTCATAAGGAAGATGTAAGAAAACATGGTCGACGAGTTGTATTTACTTTGATGATTCAATAAAGATTGTCGGAAATTTTCTAATGGAGCTGTAAACTTTGCGTTAATTCTCGTGAAATAAGTTATTTCGCATCGCTAAGCAGCATCAAAGGACAAAACTGGAAATGTAATCGCCTAATCTGATTTCGCGGCCGGGACAAGGAGAAGTAAATGGAGTTTCAAACTTTATTCGCAATCTCACATTGTATGCCTGTGCATAAGCGAGCCCGTGTGTATGTAAAGATTTTTTTTTTTTTTTTTTTTTTTTTTTTTTTTTTTATGACAATTACAAGGAAAGACGGTTAAATAGCCATTTTTAATTTGTTTGCGCGAAGAGCAGTTAGGTTGGAGGGATTAAATATAAGACAATTGATAAAGTAAATACAGCGAAATTAAATTCTTTTAAACTGTATGACGTTCCGTGATGAAGCTACCAACCGATTAGATAGTTTATTTATATCGTATGTAAAAAAATTATTTTCATACCTTCGAACAAGTGCTCTCTTAATGTGAAAACGCGAATATAATATAATATATCCGTAGTATGTGCATTTATTTTATATAAATATTTTGCACTATTTATAATTCACCAGGCTCGATATATTTATCCGAATAAATAACCGAGAAACTGAAGTAAATATCTCGTCGTGCAAATATTGGTGTATGACAAAATTGTCTCGGTCCCGAAAACAATGGTGCGCCCTAGACATTAATCGTGCACTTGCAAACTATGAAAATTAAAATAGCCATCCTTGGTTATAAAGTATTATAATAAACGACATTTATTCTCCAACGTAGAATAAAACTTTCAGTTGAACGGTGTCTCGAGTTTCCTCGATTTATCTCCAGTTTATGGTGCGGACCGAGCCACGAGCGACACTTTGCGCGAATTCCGAGGTGGGCGTATGCGCATTGAGATCAGGAGCGATCGCGTCATGATGCCAACATTATCAAGATCTGGATACTGCGATGCGCGGACCAATTCGGACATTTGCTTCGAAACAGGTTTCTGCTTTTGCTTGCCTCTGCCTCTCGGTAATTCGTGAGTAGTAACGAGCCCGACGGTGATAAAATCCATTTTTACTTTCATTTTCTTGTCTGCCGGCGCATTCAAGCGCTGCCTACTTAGCGTGTACGAGTCACAACTGACAGTTGAAAACTATAATAAAAACGTCATTTTGATATTTAATGAGTAGTGAGGAATGGAAAGGAACAGAGAAAAAAGAACGAAAAACGTTTTATCCTTAATTCTCTTTTAAAACGTACAACAATTTATTAATTATGCTAACGGGCACATTAAGATATCAAGAGTAACGTAGCAAGGACGATTTTACGTTTCTTACACGCGACATTCTCATATTATATATAAAAATTACTATGTAATTTATCGTCGGCCAATTACACAATACAAGCTCACTGCAATGGATTTAGACGGTTAAGTTAAATGTACAAATGTATTGTATTTTTTGTTTGTCTTTAGCTCCTGTCTTTTTCGATAAAGAATGTTTAATTAGCGATCTCGTTATATACACGACTCTAATTCGATAAATTTCTGTGTTTATAAGGGGACGTGCGTACCAATCAGAATCCTCAATTGATAGTGTTGCAAACGCTATTTATTAGGGAGCATAATCGGATCGCTTATGAGCTCGAGGCTTTGAATCCACACTGGAGGGACGAGCGACTTTTTCAAGAGGCTCGGCGAATCCTTATTGCCGAATATCAGCACATAACGTACAGCCACTGGCTTCCGCTTGTTATTGGTGAGATTGCCATCATCACCTGGCTTTATAACAATTTACCATAATGAATTACCATTTATCATTAAAAGAACTTGTTGTTCTACGATGGCAGTTTCATGAACTTTAACAAGATATCGTAGACCAGCAAGATGCCCAATGTAATATCGCATTTTACTATTGCTCATTATAGGAAAGAAATATTGCAGAGAGAATATATTCCCATTGAACGTTGGATTATCGAGAGATTACGACGTGACGATTAATCCTGGCACGATTAACGGCTTCACTTCTGGTGCTTTTCGATTCCTGCACTCGATGATCGAAGGCAACATTTAGTAAGTCCATGTGCTTGGCCCTCGTTGCGCCCCTGAACAAGCAAGCGACCGTAGAATAAAATTTTACCTAAATACATCTAAATACGTAAATACATAATGTCAACGGATGCAATTTCATTGAATTTCGTTTCAGTTTAATGCCCGATAAGTACAGCATATTTTCCACTATTCGCTTAAGTGACTTTTACTTCCGGCCGCAAATCGTCGAGACGAACGGTAACTTCGAGGCACTGCTCCGGGGACTTATTTACCAGACGATACAGAAGCCAGACGCAAATTTTCACGAAGAGGTACCCACCACGTCATTTTCTCGCGAACGACTTTATAAATATGGAAAATTCGCCCCACCAGCCACCGGGACATTATTATTAATTACATTTTTCCTTCTTATATTTCTTCCTTATTTCGCGTAGGTAACCGAATACTTGTTCCGTTCGGGTAACAATTTCGGAATGGATTTGGAAGCACTTGATATACAAAGGGGCAGGGACCATGGAATACCTGGCTATAATGCGTATCGCGAATTGTGCCATCTCGATCGTGCCGAAGACTTTAAAGGTCTTATCAACGAAATCCCCTTCAACGTAAGAACTTTCGTTTCAATCTTACTTCTGACGGATATGTATTCTTAAAGCAATTATCATTCCCGGCTATATTGCAGTTTCAAATATCATTATTTCAATTTCAAAGATAAAGTTTTAGTAAAAAGAGATAATCGCAGAGATAATCGGGGAGGGGCGGATGGGGGATATATATATATATATATATATATATATATATATATATATATATATATATCTGGGAAAATATAGACGAGAAAAGATTTTAGATATAAATGCTATAAAGGCTAACGGTTGAGAATATTCACGCAATTGCGTTTGCCTATAGTGCAACCATCACTGTCACTTCAACGCCATTTGCAACAAAAGAATTTGAAAAATAATGCTTTAATGACAAATTTTGTGGAATAATTTCACTCAATGATTAATTGCAATGAAACGAGTCGTTTATCCTCTTCTTTACTAAAGCCTCCTCTTTTAGAGCATTCAGCAATTACAGAGTATTTACGAGCACGTCGATGATATTGATTTGTTGGTTGGCGCTACGATGGAAACCCGAATGCCGGGAAGCTTATTAGGACCAACATTACAATGTTTAATTGGAGAGCAGTTTTATCGTTCTCGAGTGGGTGATAAATATTTTTACAATAATGTTAATTTCCCTCATTCTTTCACGCATGGTAAGACTTTTTATTTGCTTCTATGATTAATCCAATGGATTTGCAATTGGTATGTCGATAAGGTTGCGATATGCTATTGACTTTACAGAGCAATTTTCGGAAATACAAAAGGCAAGTTTAGCAACGATGATATGTGAATTGGGCGAGGCTCTATACGCAGTTCAAGAGAATCCCTTTAAAGTGATATCTCGAAAGAATCCAAGAATATCGTGCTTCGACTTGCCAACCATTAATTTAGAATATTGGAAAGAGGAAGATTAATTCATGACAATAACATTGAATATTAAAGTCATTGTATTATAAGTCATTATTATTATTATTAATTTAAATAAATAATAATTTGCTATATAGGTATAAGCTGTATTGCGAATGTAATACGATATTTTGCACACAAATTCTTTTATGTTTATTCAGAAAGAGATAAAAAAAAAGTTGTTACATTTAATTTTCAATTACATTGTATACAATTAACGATATTTCGCTCATTTAATGGAATATTTCATTGCTCTCATCACAGTAATTGCCGAGGCGAAAGTAAATTAGCGAAATTTCCTTATATAATGGATAGCATTGGATTTACTTAATTAATTTACTTAAAAATATAATAAATAATAAATATACTCAAGTTTTCATCATTCCTACTAATTATTTCAATAATATCATTGCATATAGGCAGTGTTTAATTTATGCATAAATCATGATTGTAAATAGAATCAAATGAATAATAATAATAATAATAATAATAATAATAATAATAATAATAATAATAATATATAAATAATATACAAATATTTATTGAACGAATAATGCAAAGGGTAATTTGCAAAGTAAAATAAACTAGAATATCAACAGACGAAATAAATTTCTCCAGTGGGATTTTACGCAAAATGAAAAAAAAAAAAAAAAAAAATTACCCGTAAAAGAACCAACGAATGCATCTACGTGCTTAACTTATTTGGAAAACTACAATTTGTTTGGCAATTAAATTATTACTGTCTAAAATGCGTATGAACTATCGATTTTGTTGCATTACGTCTGCCAATCCGTATATTATTATATCTGCATTTTAAAAAGCGAGGAGTGGTTGTTATATTTACCAGGTCTGTCGGAATAAGTTCCATCCGAAAAATACAGAAAATACCGAGATAAGAATGTGCGATTGTAAACTGACTTTCTGGTTTAGAGAAAATCTAATAATATATATATATATTTAGTTGTCTTACGTAGGCAAAAAATATGGCTTACGTGAGAAAACTGTTATCCGTGTTGTAAGCATTTGAAAGGTACAATTTAATATTTCAAAAGTTTTATCAATGTTATTTAAAACAAAAACATCAACAAAAAAAAATGGTTGCAATGTTCTACGACGTAATTTTTTTTTTCTTTTATTATTTATTATAATAATTGTTAAGTGTACGTCATATATATATATATATATATAAAGCATTTTGTTTACCTTGAATAATCTCGTTTAATGTAAGTATAAATTATAAAAAAATATACTTAAATAAAACAATTACACATAATCCAATTTAAATAAAAATAAATAAATATTCTGTATAATAATAGTCACAAAAATATTGGTTAAATACCTTTGGAGAAAATTAACTTTATAACAACGTATGATTGTAATTTATTTTATGTTTTATTGTTTTTCACTAAATTACACGTTTGAATATTTCAATGTGAAAACAAAAATAATAATTAATTAAAATAATAAGAAATTTATAAATTTGTTATATTAATACTTTCTACTAACTTTTTTTTTCAATCACCATGATATTGTCACCTTCAGTTTGACATCCAAATGTGTGGTTAGTTTTTTTTTTTTTTACCCGTAGAATTTAATTATTTCCTTACATAACATATAAGTTTTTTCATATAGTTTTTATTCTTATACAAATATTTATAAATGCTTTTTCGATTGATTTCTTTGGAATAGACTATTCAACATTTATGCAAAAAATTTTATACAATTTTACTAATAATTTCGTATTTTCACGATAATTTAAATTACGTTCTATAACGATTTATCAACAAGCATATATTCATAAATAACCGTACTGTTGTTGAAAACAATAATACAATATTTTTAATGTATATAGAAGGTTTTAGTTTGGCACTTATCGTAAATGTATCGAGCACTTTATGTATCTGAAAAGAAAGAAAAACATATTATTATTTAATTTTTCAAAGGCTGTCAGATTTTCATTTTCGTAACACATTATTAAAATAATATTGTACCTTGTCATGTGCTTGTAATGTAACATTTTATTATTTTATGTTCTTCGTAAAATTATTCCGAACATGCATGCAGTTATTGTGGTAATTCTTCTATCTCCACGGGATACTCCAAATAATTATATAAAATAATGTTTTAAAATTTCTGTACACAAAAGGTCCAAAGTTATTTTATTTAACTTGTATAATTATTCATATTTCTATAATTCCGTATGTAATGATAAAATTGAAATTCAATTTTAACTTAGATTTTTATATATTTAATGAAATATATGAATTCCATCTCATTCAGTTCTAACTTCACTCTAAACTTTTAATTTAATGAATATCATTTTAAATGATTCATAAGCTCAAGAAGACATATATATATATATATATATATATATATATATATATAAATGTGTGTGTGCGTGTGTGTGCGTGTGTGTGTGTGTGTGGGTGTGTGTGTGTGTGTGTGTGTAATATAGTATTAACAATGTGAAATGCCCAAATTAATAAAGTATTTTTGTAATTATATAAGATAATATTCTAATTTAAATACTTATTTTCGGATACAATAAGCATTATTAATTAGAACGAAATTTTAGTTATTTTAATTTACATTGCACACATAAACTTGGACACAGTGGATCACAAAAATTTAGATTAACATATAATACACGTAAATGTAATACATTTTTAATCTTTAGCTGTTTCTTTATACACATGTTACTACAAAAATTAGATTAATATACTTAAATTTTTTTATTTTATACATTTCTTATTACTCAATTCTTAATTCTATATTTAAACATAACAACAATTATCTTTTACTTTTTAGGAGGTTGAATATATAGAAGGGATTCTTCATCAACATAAAATACGTAATTTGGAATTATATACAATAGATACAAAAAGTAATATAATGAATTGCACCTCTTTATTTCGTTCTCAATGATAAAAATGATATAAACTTATAATATAATTATCAGAATTATGTTTTGATTAATTTATAGAAAAAATTTAATTTTACGAATTATAAATAAATAATGATTATACTTATTGTTAAACTTAATTGTTGTAATAGTAATATATTATTTTTAACATCCATCAAATTTCTTAATGAATAAACAAATGAGATTGATTACTTTTTTATATTTTTGATATTCTGAAGGTCAAAAGAAATGTCATACCCTTGATTCTCTAAAACATTGACTATTTTATGCAAATGTCTGTTCGTTCATCACTTTGTGCTACACTAGGCTGCACTGCTCTACTTAGTTGAATTTTTTTTTTTTTTTTTTTTTATCATTATCATTTTTAATGAAAATCCTGTTATTATTTAGCAAATTATACTCTCTGCGTAATGTAACAAGATTTCCAAGCAGTTTGAAATGTTCGATAAATAACCATTTATATTAAAATTTAATTTTTATTGCTCCCATAAGTAAAATCCAATATTTTATTTATGAGCTCATGTTGTATAAATAAAGATTAAATGCACATTAGTTTAGTAATACGATTCAAAATGTGTGCGAAATATTAGTGAATTATTTGAAATTCTACGTGCAATTTGTGGAGCAAAATTAATTATACACCCATTAACATGCTAACTTTAATGCGGATAAAATGAAATCGTTTCAATTTCTGTGAAAATTCCAGGTGAATACTTCTATTATTAACGAAATTGTCATTTAAAACTATAATCAGTAAAATGTATAACAAAATTCTAGTTCTGAAAAAACTGCAAATTTGTTGGTAGTTTATATTATACTGGTAACTCTTAGTTGAATAAAATAATAAATAAATAAAAATAATGTGTAAGTTTCAAGAAGAAATTATTTGGCAAATTAAGAAAAATTCCAATAATAGATTACGTGATGTTAAATAGTCGTCGTACGTTAGAGAAAGTTCGATTAAATATATATGTTTAGAAATCTAATTACACCAAATAATAATATTTCTACAAGAAAATTATTCTCCATCATAATTTAAAAGGCGTGGTTCATAATACGATTCTATAAATTCGTTTTAAAATAAATTACTTTTAAATGTTATATCATATTAATTATTAATTATATGATAACTATTATTGCTAAATATATATAAGAAATCTGAATTCATACAAGGTAAATTAATTAAAACGGATAGACTGTGTAGAAATGATTGTGTTTTCCATATGTGTGTGAACATATTATAAATCACAACTTTTGAAAGACACGAACAATACGTTTCTCATTAATAAAAATAGTTTTAGTCGATATTTTCACTTTGTTTTATGTACATATTATTTCTATACATTATTTAGTGTAAATAAATATATAATATTAATAACAGTGCAAGGGAGAAGAACGTAATGGCAGTGCGCGAATGGAATACAAGTGAAGTAAAATGAAACAATTGAACGGCAATCCGATCAAGCATGCACATTTCATAATATTTATGTAAGTAGGAATAGACACTGACGTCAATGAATTCTCGAACATAAAACATTTTTTGCTGACACCTTTTACGATGTGTACATTCAACAAGGAATTTTTATATATTTCAATTAACATTATAATATTTAAAAAATTTATTAACTGTATGATTTAGCACTTTCAAATTGTTATTAATAGGTCAATATTCCAGTGTCAAAATCAAAAAAATTTGAATTGATTATTTTAATAAAATTAAATTATTAAAAATATTATTGCAAATATAAGAAAATCTATGTTACGTTATTATTAATATTGACTTTATGATTCAAACAAAAATACTAAACTATCATTTACAATAATCTAATTGGTATGACATACTTTTATGAAGCGGGTAAAAGTGTCGACCACAACACAATACTTATGAAAAAATTACATTTGGAGGATTTTTTTATTTGAAAGGTTGACACTGTACTTTACAATTTAGAATTAAATAAACATCAAATTTACAATACTATACGAGGAATATTTTAAAAAATATTTCATGAAAACCATAAAAAATTCTTAGTGACAGTAATTTTATGCAAGATATGACATAAATTTGATTCTTTCTAAAAGAAAATA